CAATAGACCACGTGAGATCGATTATACCACACCGTCTAATGATACTATTCTATGTGCGATTTTCAGTTATGAAAAGCGAATTGTTCAACGAAGGAAAATATCATGCGTTGGAGTTCTTCTGACACCTCGGTTTTATAGGTCGTAGCTTTCTTTCGCCCAGTGATTTAACATACTGCAATTGACGTTCGCGTTACCAAATCTTCGAATCACAAAGAAAATTATTAAACATCAAGCACCATTGGACGCGGTCAGAGTTTAGTCGTGGTGGCGCCTAATTACGTAGATAATATCAAATCCCCGATTGATTCTTCCGGCGCGTTGCTAATTTCAATGTTTAAGTCGAACGATCAGAACAGATGTTTGAATTTATAATTTATCGTCGCCGATAAGTAATCTTTCGACGTCGTGACATATAAATGCGCGTTCTATAAAATTAGTTCGAACTAGCGAACGTCGCTCGCGGCCCCGCGGTAGGCTGGCTTTCGTTCCGCCGGGGTGCGAGACGATTCGCTCGAGCGAATAAACTATCGCTGCCGTATAAATACGGCCGAATATGTAAATTGTACGACTGCCACGAGCTTGTACAGCGTTTCCTCCTTTTTTCTTCCTTCTCTCGCGCGGTTAATTCGCGCGCGTACACCGGCGGGCAGGAATACCTATATACGTGCGCATAGTCGAACTCGGCCTCGAGTTAATTACCGGGGTGTCGTAATGACCGATCGCCTTTCCCGACCGATCGGTGTCTACCGATCGTAGATCTGCTCTAATGAATACGAGACACCGAGCATGCAACCGTATCGACGTATCGATGTTCGCTGTGTAGTCTATCGAGCGGGGACGCGTATTTACGGGGCGCATACAGTGCAACGCTCGTGCATACTCGTTCGCGAGATCGACGGGAGATCGGCGCCTCGTTTCTTAATATCAACGGAAGCCCACGACATCAGTCGTCGCATAATTAAGTTGTCGGACAAAGGAACGAACATGATTCTCTGTTTGCAACCGTGATACATGAATGTCGGGTGCGTACCTAGAAATCTATAAATATTATGGAGCTCTTTATGCACGAAACCGAAAGGAAGATCCCCGTATCTTGTTTCTCGATCTTAATTAAAACGACGACATGATTCATTCGCATAATTAAGATGCCGAACAAAGTGTACGGCATTTTATTTATGGTGGCGGTATGCACGTCGTCGCACGTATCTATAAATGTTACAGCGCTGTACGTACCGTACGCTTGCGTGAATCATATCAATATCGCAGACGGAAAACACTCCTATCGAGCTTCATAAAATATTGACGCATATTTCTGTGAGTATATCAACACGCTGTGTAATTGATTTCCGTAAAGGAGAAGGTATAAATATATATCCGATACGAAATTTCTATAGAGATTACTAAACGAAGAACGATGTTACGGAATCTCGTTTAACCGCGATGTCCGTGAAACTATTTAAGCGTGCAGGTAAATAGTCATGACTGTTATTTGTGAATCATAGCAAACGATCGAGAGAAAAATCTTCTTATCGCACTTAGGTATACCTTGGCGAATATATCTACTTTTAGACGATAGAACTTGGAGATGCGAGATTATCTTTTAAAATGTACAGATATGCTGGGAACTTCTTATCGGGTTCTCTCGGAGAACGCCGGGTGACTGTATAGATAAACACTTTACCATTTATCTGGTACACAAAGTCGTTGGGGCGTGATAGCCGAGACGGCGTGGAGTGCTAAGACGAATACAACACCGGCCATCAATTATCGTGATATACTAGTACGTAAACTGGCTACTGATCAACCAGTATTCTCTCATCCCAGTATAATAAATTATTCAACGTTTTGTCCCGCGGCTGTGCTATCATTAGGCGTGCAAGTATATTTTTGCCATTCGCGTCACAGTACTCCTATCGAACGCACCAGTGCAAAATTTGTTGTTGATGCTCGCTGTATTTATTTATAAGTTATGCGTTGACATCACAAACACAGCCACTAGGAATAATAAAATCGTGAAGAGCACGGCGATTTTTACTCTCAGGGGAGTGCCGGAGGGACACATGTATATTTTTATTGTCGGGAAAGTCGCGAAGTATAATATTCGCAATACGCACGGCGCGCGTTTATTTTCTTCTTCTCGTTGTTTGTACATTTTATCTTTAAACCGATGACTATCTCTCTCCGTGTTCAATCGGCCACGAAAAAAAAGAGAGAAACATATATCGCGAAAGGCGTTCGGTGCGTGTACGCGGTTACATATGGGCGTTATTCGATGTAACTTTTAAGGCCCCGTGTTCGCGTGCGCTACTCATTGCTCTTCGTCGGACAGGATCGTTACTTATTTTACGAATGAGCCTCATTACTACCGACAGCTTAAAATTGCGGGATATATACGATCCGGCGAGGCAAGCACTTGTGAGATACATTTTTTGATTGATTTCGCAAAAAAAAAAAAGAAACGCGCGAATAACAGCGCATTAATATTTGTATTTATTTGGATATATCATGGTAAATTATAGCATTAACCGTTCATAATTGAAAATTTATAATAACAATTTTTATCCAAACATTCTCTCGTGTATGATCGTACTCATACTGTGCAAATATATTAAATTACATAATGTATATTCATTTCTATGGATAGCATATTATAAAAACTGCAATGCCTTATTAATGTTAATAAAATATTTATCTCGACATTGTAAAAGCGTCCCTTGTTACACTTTACGAGTTGCAGTTATTTCAATTATAATAGACTATACGTATGTCATTTCATGAATATTGAAATCGCAATGTCACGTGTGAGATTAGTTCTTCATTGCGCCGAAAATATGTACTAGAATACGATTTTGCAAAAGAATTCGATTTTCCCTACGTGATTAGAATTCGGACGCGAATTTTACTTTCGGCCTTTCTTTCCTAACTGTTTTGTTACGGTAAAAAAAACTTTCATTTCCCTTAGACATGCGCGACGAGAAGGAATAAAATTTAAGCAATGTAAGCCGGAGCAATTTGCGCAAAAGCCATCACGTCAATCTTTTAAGGATGAAAGCAGGACGCTTTTGAGGTTGGGCGATCGAGTAGAAATGAGTTCCTCCGTGCCGCAAATTTTAAAATGTCGCCCTTCCATCGCCTCAATCGAATAAGATTAATGCATGCGCGCAACGATCATTATAGGAGATTATTCTACCATTTAGTTTTTTATTTGATCGAGATAGCAACAAATCGAGAACATCTAAAGCTGTCCGTTAAGAATAATAATTTCGACGTTTTAGTGACACGACTTTGTATGCCCATGGACGGGATCTGACATTATGTGTTACATACGTTGTCATAAATATGGACGGGCTTAAATCGAGCACAATGTGAATGTAAGAGCGATATCGCGACAGTGACGGCATTTCAATGTCGTGATCCGATTAAAGAAGAAAAAATCAGTGCCACACGCATGCTTCGGATTAAGCCGAGGGGACCCTCGATTGTGTGCTCAAAAAATGATAAACGTTGGAACGATACAGCAATGTCAGTGTCGCAAATGTTAGTCTCGCTTCGGTGATCTCTATCTTCCAGGGCAGGAACGAAACGCTCGTCAGGGTAGATCGCGTCTTGCGTGCTCATAACTTCTATTTACACAAGACAGAACAGGAAAATAGATTTGCGAGAGAGAGAGAGAGAGGGAGAGAGAGAGAAAGAGAGAGAGATAATTTTTTATATTATTTTATAACTACATTGTTGTGCCTTGAAGAAAATCGTATAAGTCATGAACGAGTTGATTCTGAAGCGATGTGTTGAAGAGTTATATACAGATATATGTAAATAATATTATATTTAAATATTTATGTAAAAAGCATCATTACGATTAAATCGCACGATTAACGCGAAGATGCCTTATTGGAATAGTTACGCTTCCACGCAACATTGCAACCATTTCAAGGCATTCCGGTAAGAATTCTTGCGGTTGCTTATGAAAGATACAGAAGCCCGTGAGAAACTAATAGAACCGTAAAGGTATGCTGAGGAATTAAAATTCATGTAACACAATAGTAGCCGTATCCGGTCTCGATTAAACTGTTTTCATCGCCGCCAAGTTCTATGAGTTTCAAATGTAGTCATATTTATGACTTTGACCGACGATTAATCAATGTTACCGCACAATTAATCATTGAGGATACGTTGCTATAATTGCACAAATCTATACGGACAATAGAGCGATTTTATGTGAGATATCTCTCGTAGATTCTTTTTACGTGGTTTGTTAGGTCACTACATTCACTACTCTTCATTTATCTTCGTTTACGTATATTGTATCGCAAGTTATGTATAACAAAAAGACTTTGTATTAAGTTAATTACATTATAATATAAATGTTAGATACGTGACAGTCGTGAAAATCATCTGGCGAATTGCAATTACAATGATATTTTATATAATCGAATGCTTAAAATATCTCTTATTTAATATTTTATTAGCGATTGATGTAACATTTTATCTGGAATTACTAATTCAACCTAAGAATTAGTATTCTGGAAATATATACTATAAATAGCTTTACTCGATTCAATTTATCACGTCTAACATATTAAAGAAGATTTAGATGTACGTGACATCCATTTAACATCCACGTGACATGTATACACGTGTCTGCTTTCCTTGGATACGTTTCTACTTGATGCAGCTGTGCATGAGAATTAGTTATAAAAATACCATCGCAACAAAACGCGTCGGCGCATTTTGAATTGCGATAAAATAAAAAGCGAACATAAATACGGAAATTAATAAATCTTTCCAAGAATTAATTTATCAGAATTAGATAAATTTATGTATCGACAGATCCGAAAATTCGACAAATATACTATATATATATACTCATATTTTTTTCGGCATAATATCTTATCAAAACAGATAAGATATTTTTATTTTTTTCCTTGCGACATTATCGTTGATTATAATTGCGCGCGCAGCTCATTGCATCATGTAAAAATGCTTTTTTTTTATTTCAGAAGCCAGTCTAAGGCTTCCTATTTGGCCTACAGACGAGAGCGTGGTGCTCCCGATAGCGAGGGCAGCTACAAAAGAACCATGTCGCCAACTTCACGAATGGACGATTGGTCGCCTCCTAGGGATCACGACGATCCCGTACTTTTACGTGTCACCCCGCATCATCCACTACAGCAACAGCATCATCACCATCACAATAATCATCATCAGCAGCAACATTCTGATCTCTCCAAGTCATACAGCGTGGACGCTCTTCATCATCGATTGGAGGAGAGGTGTTCCCAGCAACAGCAGCAACATTCGACAGAGGTGGTCAGTAAACTCTCGCACGATCTCAACAAAAAGCTCCAGATCAGCGACGTAAGGTCTCGTACTAACGAAAATAACAACAACGACAACCTCGAGGACCGGCATCAACATCATCATCATCATCATTATCAAGAAAAGAGGCATCCGGACAAGAGACACGACTACGAGCAGCGCAGGGAAAGACTATCGCCGCAAAGCGTGGAGGTCCTTAATGACAGGAACAGGCAGCTAGAGCGAGAACGTCGGAAGTTGGCAGCGAGCTGCGAGCCCCTACCTCAAAATAGAGAGGTGAGATTATCTTCGGACAGATTACCTTCACGTAATAGCGATATTTACGTGTTTTTCGCATCTCAACGGTCTACCTATTTTTGCAACTTGTAAATATAGCGGTGTCAAGGACGCGCGAATTCAATTTACACATCTCTAGCATTCAATTTCTTGCCGAGCTCGCATAACGTGCTACGCACTTTGGCGTTTACTTCGTTATCATTATTCTGATAATTTAACATTCTCCAGTTTCTTCAGTTTACGTGCTTCAAACGATTACGTTCTTTAAACTTTAAAATATTTTAATATTTTATTCACTTTTATTTTATTTATTGTGCCGTATTGTCGTTTCCGGATTTTCCGCGAAATAATCAAGAGTCTCGGACGTTTACTTCCAGAAGCAGCTACGAGAAATCAGCGGTCCGCTTCCAATCGCCGGCGATGACTTCTTCCGCGAGAGAAGCGCTACGATCGAGATGACCTCGCAGAATATCGAATTACTAAATCGCCGTAATGAGAAGAGGATGAGTGGTGTGTCAACATCAAACAGCACAATATCCACGTATTCTATCAGCACGACAACGTCGTCAGTCGCTACGAGTTACGATAATGGCTGGGCCAGAAGACACGAAACGCAGAACTCGATAGAAGCTACCATCTTTTCCGACAGGCCACCACCACCAACGAGTTCACCGCCGAGATCACCGAACAGTGTCGAGACTACAACTCCACGAGGAGCTGTCCCGAGACGATCCGGAAGTTGCTCGAGCACCTCTTCCTCAGGAAGATCGATAGACGCTCGCGTATCGCCTCGAGTTTTGCTGTCCAGATCGTCTCCTAAGAGTTCTCTCGACTCTCTCACGCGGAACGAAGCTCGGATAGAATATGCCTCTAACAGAAAAGTCTCCAGCCCGACGCAAACGGATAATACAGGTTCCTGGAACAGATCCAACTCGCCGAGCCGACTGAGTCAAACGAGCGACACGGAATCGCGAATCGAGAGACTTTCATCTTCGAAATTTAGGACTGGCGGCAGGTCGTCCACGTCTTCGATCTCAAGCGTCTCCAAAACATCCTCTTCCTCCTCACCGAGAAATTCGCCGGTCGAGGAGGACAAGTCGTCTCCCAGATCGTCGCTCTGCGTGTCGCCCCAGCCAGGCATAGAAGGATTGACGTTGGTACAACGTACCGAGGTCGTGCTTCGGGTGAACGCGGCCACCAGCGACGCCGCCTCGCAAACCGATATCTTGGAGGATACGGAGCAAGATTTCTCGGGCAAAACTCAACGGTCGCTTCCGGAATCTAGGAAGAAATTACCGGAGGAGATCGAGTGCGAGGAACTCAGCAAGGATTTAGCCAGTCAACTCAGTCCCAACGACAAACTGGTGCCCATACTCGGTGAGTATTCTTTATCTTTATCGTTCCGTTTCAATTGCGTGAGTAATGGTTTTTGAAGAGCACCGTTCATCCGACGATTTTATTATTTGTTCCACGTCCACCATTAACTCACGCCAATGGAATTGATTCAATTAGATACGTTATTCAATTTTTAAACGGCGTTCGCTAACGCAGAGAACTCACGCTGACATATATATATATACGATCTGTCCAGTCGCCGTTACACTTACGCTGTCGCACGCTTATTTTACGTACACGCGTACGTTAGCCTCGCTCGAATGTGCGGATAATGTACGTACACTCGCGAGCACGCGCGCGCAATTACCATCCGTAACATGGTAGAGTCAAGCATTCGAGGGCAATAACCCTCTGTTTTAATAAGCGCTAATTTAATCAACGACACGACACTGCCTTATTCAATTATATGCCGTCACCGCGCGCCGCGCCGTCGCGATATTCGATGCAATCCCTTGTCGCATTATGGCTTCCATAAGAACGTGGAGATCTCTGGAGCGTGAAACGAAGTGTGCGAGGAGGGAAACGCGCGTACCGAGAACGCCTGATGATGTCCCTTTTTTTTTGCTTCTTATCAGTTCCAGCGCCGGAGCACAAGAAACCCACCGACTACGTTTCCGGCCTGTTCAGGGTGGAGGCGACCTTGCAGCCACGAACAAGACGACGGCTCTCCTTGGAAGAGTCAACGGCCTCCTGCAGCGAGGACGCGGACGTGGACGATAAAAAGTGAGCTCTTCTTATTCTCCTTTCCTTTTTTCTTCTTTTTTTTCTTTTTTTTCGGCTGAAGTTCACTTAATTAAAGCATATTTATGAGGCAGCTCACGCTGCGCCGATATCACGCGCGTTGTCTTCATCCGGCCGCATCGGCAAGGGTCAGTATAAGATTGTTGTTACGGGCGAAGCAGATAAGACAGCATAAATATAGACCAAACGCGATAATTGATAGTTTTCACGTGCTCGCGAGCATTGGATTACGTGCTATTAATCAACTTGAATGCCTCGGAATCCGAAGGCGTTCATTACAAGTGCAAATTCGCGATTCTCTTTACTCGACTTAATTGGTCGACGCGCACGTCTAGGAGGCGTATAATTTTAATAAACAAGTAGAAGTTTCTTTTTGCTCAATTATGCCGACTGTCGTTTTAAATTTCTCCAATCGCACACTCGCGCTCTGTGTGGTCGCTACTGGCAGGTAAAATAAACCTGCGTGGATCTTTTTGGAAGGACGCCAGATGTATCGTGTGCCGCCGTTTCACACGATATTTCGTGCGAAAAGAAGGCGGCACGTGTCCGAAAATATCTCGTTTAGCCCGACGTCAGTGTAGGGATTCTTTATTATTCGACGAGCAACGTTTATGTAGACGGCGAAATTCTTAACCGACGTCATTAATGAACTTGCCGTCTGGATTGGAATTGTTGTTTGATGATAAAATGGAATTTAACAAATCCAGCAGCAGCGGTCGGGAATGTCTTGTACAAACTTGTACAAACAAGCAAGTGCAGATGGTTTTTTCTTTACTTTGTAACGTTGCCCCTTTTATTCTTGCTTCCGCTTTTTCCTTTGTCGACTCAGACGTCTTACGCACATCGCATTGCAAAATATTGGAACATCTCATGTATTCAGAATTTATAGTTATCGTTAGGTTTTTCGATATATTCGTACTATCGCAACCATTTGCGTTTCACGGTTACTGTCTATTGTTCTTTATTTTTTATGACGTTACGACTCTTCCCTTTTTCGTCGATCCGGTCTATCTTGCGCACTCACGCGGACAATACTTCCTCCGTGCTCGAAGAGAAAGTGCCAAAGAACCGAGGCTGTTACGTAATCTGCCATAAATGATATTGTCAAGCACTACTACTCAGTACTTGTTCTCTACGCATCATATTATTTGCCAGTCTCCAACATATGGCTGAAAGTGACGCATCGTACTAACAAAGTGCTCGGCGTGCTTGCAACAAGTCGAAACGGGAAATGGAAATGGGCCCTCCAGAAAAGTATATACAACTTCTCGTTTTTGTTTCCTCCGGACGCTAAAGCGGTCGCGGTGTTAAGTGGCGTCGAAAATTCGTGGGCTACATAACAACGTGTAAATTGAAAAATTTCACGTAAGAACGAAGTGTGCTCAAGGACGCGGTAAAATCTCCGCCGATGAATTTAAGAGCCGGCCGAAAATCACCGAGGGAGAGACCGACGTGTTACGTTAAATTAGTTTTAGCCGATACGCGCGAACTTTCTACCATATTTTACGGCGAAAAGAAAGAAAAATCGGCACTTTCGAAAGCAATTTTAGATAGCAGTAAAATCGTGACAATTTCGTACGGACGTATCCGATATACACATGTAAAATAATGATTGAAGAGATAATTACAAGAAGCGGAATCCACTTCCGCTTCTTAACCGTGGTATTTCGTTTTTAACTGATCTCGAACCGTAACTCCCAGCAAATCGCACAATTGAACAACTTTTTTTAAATAAATGTGCGGTTCGATACAACTCGCTTTCCTTTATCACTTTCTCCTCTTTTATAGAACTCACCTAGATGTACAGGATCGCGCATGCTGTCGTTTAACTGATAACAATCTCGGCCGGCTTATGGATTACTTATTGATTGAGCATTTCCCATCCATAAACTTGAGAATCAAGCATCACGTGTATGACTTTGTTACTCATCACGGATGTCGATTACGAAAATAAACCGCGAATTCTACGCCGCAAAGTATTCCTCTGCATCCACTCGCAAATCATTCTGCTTTTCCCTGCCTCGCCTCGGAAACAGTGGAGGATTAATTCAATCGTGACTCACGTTCATTGACGCAATTCCCTGCCCTCTCGCAATGATGACAATTATAGGAATATCTCTGCATAAATACTGCAAGAGAGATAGAGAGGAGGACGGGTCCGGTATAGTCCGCATTAACCAACCGGAGGTGTAATCATCGTAATAAATTCTTTTCAGACACGAAACGATACCCTCAGCTCCCGTCACGCCACTGTCAGCCGATTCTACCAGCCCCCTGTCCCTCACCTCGGCTTATTTCACGACATCCGAGGGAAAGGCGAGGTTCCTGACGAGATACTCGCGAGACGCCAGGGACGCGGAGGGATTAACACATCAAGAGGATGCGCCGGCGGTTGTACCAACGAACAGCCTTGACCTTAGGCAGAAAAAGGTACTACTCCACAAACCGGAGCATAATTAAACGCGCTCGTCGGATGTGCTATAATTAACTCTATACGATTGCCCGCGACTAAATTTGATCGGTATGCGGTCGCGGAGCTCCTAGACAGTGGGGCAATAATGATTACGCGGAGATAAAATGATAATAAGTATCGTTACTATCGAGCCTCCGAGTACAATCTGAGCCTTATGTAAAATGTAATTACCGCGCTTTGGAATTTCTACTTATCATATATCTTTAAGGCCGGACTGTTACCTAACTAGTTGTTCATATAGCAAATTATTACCTCGCCTATTAGATATCCCCGTGTTTTCTTGGTCTGTCGAATCTCGCAATAAAAATTACGAGCGTTCTCATAGCGTCGTATCGACTCATGCGTGTAGGTATTCTAGAACTATGGATGATTTTTTTTCAGGAGGAGTTGATGATGCGCCTCGACAGGAAGCTGGTGGTTCTCAGGGGCGAGCAGGAGGCCGTAAGGGAGGAAGGTGAGGTGAACGAGACTCTGGGTGCGCGAGTCGCCGCTCGCGTTTCCGCTGTGGCTCGCCCGCCGGAAGCGTCCAAGTATCGGAATCACGTAGAGGAAGTCGGCAAGATTACGAGCCTTCTTCTCGGCCTCAGCGGCAGGTTGGCTCGCGCTGAGAACGCCCTTTATGGCATGCCGGCCGACCATGCGGAGAGAGTAAGTATGAAACTTCTTGTTTTCTTGCATGCTTGGTGCGAACGCTCTTCCATCGCCAATTAAAAGTAATTGTACATGGGATATAATATATCGCAAAATTATCGAATAAATACTTTATAATAATAGATCATACGCTAAATCAAATTATTGTGTACAAAAAAATGCAATAAAAAACAAATGCATAATTTTAGTCACGAGCAATAACGGTTTTTGTTTTAATATTTAATAGTTATCCAAAGTGCTTATCTGTCCGTTATAGATAATTATATTTATATTAATTTTTATGTGTAAATTTTTAAGCATTGCATTTTTTCGCAACAACATATACATACACAATTATAAATTTTTATTTATATCAATTTTATTATTCTGTGCAGAAAATTTTAGAGAGCAAACGAGATAAGCTAATGGATCAATTAGAAGAAGCGAAGATTCTGAAGAATAACATCGATAAACGTAGCGTGAATATGTCGGCGATCCTAGCAAAGTACCTGAATGAAGAGGAATTTGCTGACTACCAGCATTTTATCAACATGAAAGCGAAGCTGATAGTGGACGGTCGCGAGATACAGGACAAGGTGAAGCTTGGCGAGGAACAATTAGCTGCGTTGAAAGAGGCAATTGACTAGTCGTAACGAGGGACTTAGCATGCTAAGTTATTATGAAATCGATTCGTAAATAACCACCGTGCATTTCCAGGCGTGAACAATGGTGTTCCGCATAATGAGTCAAGCTGACTCGAAAATATAAGTTAATAGGGGTGAAAAGTTACGGGGACACACAAAAGAGAAATAAATATAGAAAGAAATGTGTACATCTTGTATCCTAAATGAATCAATTTTGTAGTTTAAAACAATACAAAACTTACTTTTTTACAAATTTTTTAAAAAATTACTTTAAGAATTAATTGCGATTAATTAAATATTTTTGAAAATTTAATTAAAAAACATTCCATACAAATAAATATCTTTGAGACAACAATACAAAGATGCAAAGTAATTTAATGCATGATAATGTGGAAATTTAATGCATGAAATTTTCTTTGCACATGACATAAAAGTACATTATGATGTTTTCTTGATGTTATTACGATCCAAGTGTGATCCCGAAATCTGAAGTGCCTAGTCTTTGTTAAGCTTGCATCGATTTTGTTGTGTTTCCCCGGTAATTGATCCACAGAAAGAAAATAGTATATCGCTTATACATTATGTGAAACCTATCATCATGCTTAGACATCATGCCGAAAACAATTACAAGGCGCTACAAAGAGTAAAGATTATTTCTCAAATTTCTTTTTGAGAAAAATTATAATTACGCGCTAACACGATTGTCATTAATTACAGAAATGCATTTGTAAATATATATACCAGGAACAATGCGCAGTCCTGAATAAGAAAAGCCAGAACGTGCGTAAACGAAAGATGAAAACGGTCGATTGAGAACGTTAACGTTGCGTAATAAGTAATACGGCTAGTGATACATATATATGTAAATCATATCTATATATATGTATGTATTATTTTTGTGTACCGATCGACGCTAATAATAATTTTGCGTAGAACGTATTTGAAAATTATTGAAATCAAAATTTTAATATATTTCTAAATATATCTATATTATATGGATATATGTAAGTGTGTGTGTATTTTCGTACGCGAATTGCCTTTAGAAATGCATCGGTAACGCCGTGCAGTGTAAATCCGGTGCGATATTTGCCCGTACGTATGCAACCAATGGACGTTCGAAAATGCTAACAATTTCTCACATGTTTAGAGAGCCCTTTGTTTAAAAAACGCAGAGCAAAAGATGCTGAAGATTCGAGAATGCACGTTATGTTAGTTACGTTAATTTATCGTAAATTTTCTCGATCTGAAATTACTCGTGGTGCCTTCTTATATACGATACGACATGTGATATAAGAGGTAAGGGGAATTTACGTTCTGTCTAAACAACTGCGCGGCGTCTAAGCAACTAAACGATGCAGGCAACCGAAGCGACGTTTTATGTGTATATAATAATAAATATATTGTAAGTGCATATGTGTGTGTGTTCATACTCCGACACACATATACCATATATACACATACATACATTCATACATACATACATACATATACACGGTACACATAAACGAATACTATTTTTACGTATTATTCTAACCCCCCGGGGGCCCTCGTGGGCCTCTATGACGCTTGTGATTTTATTTACTCTATACGATCCCACCAAGGAGTCTCGAAAGTATCGCGGGACCGCGCGTCGTATTCGAGCCTCCATGGTGGTCCAGCGAGAAATTTTATGCCACAGTCAAACAAATTCCCATTTTGCTCTTTTTTTCTCTCTGTCTCGTTTTACATTCTCGTTTGTAAATTACGCGTTTTTTTCAATACCGATCAATACTTCCTCCCCGCTCATCGCTCTATCGAGGGCGGAGAAGAGACTACAAGCGAAATTACACTGGACCTCCGAGAATCTTTGGGCTCGGTAATGAGACACTTACTGAGGACCCATGGATTTCGAGACGGAATCCATCCAAACCGCACCTCTACGAAAAAGAAATATTCGATTTCGTTCCATTATAAATACAAACTTTCTTCGTGACGCGAACGCGCTTGATCTCAGACGACATATAACTCGTCACGGCGAGACAGACAGCACGGCGCCAGAGATAGCGTGTCACAAATCGGGACCTAGACGGCCGCGACGATAATGATTGCGCATGAGAAAGACTGAGTACAGGGCATAAAATTTTGCGGCGTGTATTAGTCAGTTTCTGTTCCTCGTTTATTTCTCGATGTTCGCGAATCGGCTGCGGCGGGTACTGCAATCTTGCCGTTAATCGAAAGAGTAGCAGCCACCGTGTTACAATATGTTTGCGAGCAGCAAAACATCACGCGGCGGCAACGATGTCATCGAATGCGACTACCATCTGTACTCATCCCCCGCCATGAATAAGGCGCAGCTGTTGTACATAACAAATTAATCGAAACATGGTGCTCTGGATATCTATTTTTTACGAGAAGAAACGTTCCATTTATTCGTAAGCTATCACTATAGCTAAAGACATTAATATTTAACGTTCTCGCTGTGTACATATTACTACATATAATTTTACGTGATGCAAAGGCAACATAATAATTACACATACACATTCACGTGTCACCTGTAAGCGACAACGCTAGGTCGTTGTTAATCTGACAATATTATCCCATACAGATGTATGTACTACGAAATCATCATTACGATAATTACATTTCTCAAGCTCGCTTGCAATAAATAACATGTTGAAATTCAAACGAAATGACTATTTCTTTATAATAACTTACCATGCTCTTAAGCTTTGTTATGTTATTAAAATCGTTAGTTATACGTTTGCGCTCCTTGAAAAATTTATTGTACGCTAGCATGTTATTAACAAGTCTTACTGAGTAAGTAATAAGCCAAAACAATTAAATTAATAAATATTATAAAAGTTCATTTATTTTGTAATATTTTCTTTTATAAATTTAATTTATAGCTTTTTCTATATTACAAAAAATTGGAGCAAAATTTTGACGAATAATAGAGTAAAAAAATTTGTATTAGATATTAAATTGTAGCTATAAATTCGAAACAGAACCATTATCAGAATTCATTAATGAATAAATTTTCGTAAAATCGGAGGTTATTATATTATCATTCAATGATATACTCTGCCTTTATGAATAACTACTTTGGTGGTCGCACCGCCACTAATGTTACCAACAGCAGTTTGCCGCATTTTCGAAATTCTGACACATCACAGGAATTTTCATTCACACAATTATTTCATAACATAATTGCATACCTAAAGATCATTAAATTTATAATGATGCAATAAAAAACATGCATTAAATATTTTTATGATGTTTTTTCATTATCTGTAGTGGCGAATGTAGGAACTCCAGAATACTCTTTGGTGATAGTAGGTAACAAGGTAAATATCATCAAACGAGAAATACCAATGATTTCAAAATATATTAAAAAGTTCTCGACTTATCCTGATGGAATATCGTAACATTAGGAAAAAGATAATATCAATAAAATAATTATCTTCAAAAAAGTAATCCAAATAATTTTATAGAATTTACATGTCTTGAAGTTCTCTAATCATGATTGCCACGATTAGAAAAAATATAAAAACATTTAGTAATTTATTCTATAAATAATGTTCGCATTCTTTCTTTTTTTTTTGTAATTTTCTATGTAATTATAGCAATAATATCTGTTTACAAAACGTTAAATAAAATCGATACTTTCTACATTATTATTCTATAAATAATGTTCGCATTCTTTCTTTTTTTTTTGTAATTTTCTGTGTAATTATAGCAATGATATCTGTTTACAAAACGTTAAATAAAATTGATACTTTCTACATTATTTTATACCGACTATGAAGATCAGTCATAAAAATGATTTAGTTTTTTTAAATACACATATTTCAACTATCTCGATAGAGTTTCTCTTACCATGATTTAAATAATTTTATTCTAATAAAAGTTGAGACACGTCTAACAGAATACATAAGATCGCATAGTATTACTCTTCGTTCGGTCATACCATTATCGTAGATGCGAAATCGAATAAAAATATAAAAGTATATTCTCGATTTCTTTTTGAGCTTTGTCTTAAATTCCTCTTCTATCACTAATAGTAGAGTATTAGCGTCTATCCACCTGATAATTTCGTTACACTTCTTGATGATACGCTTTCGATCAGCTTCCAATATCTTTTCCTTGATGTTCTTTTCCTCGACCGTACCCTTCGTGTTAAAGCAATATGGCTCGAGGTTGTTCTCAGCTCTTTCCCTTTGTTTCTCGTCTTCGGTGTGATATCTTTCCGCTTCGTTCACCATTCGCTCGATGTCTTCTCTGCCGAGGTGTCCCTTGTCATTGATAATATAATCATTATTTTATTCTTTTTGTTCTTCGATTTTCCACTGAGACTTTCAGAATGCTGTTGGCGTCAATGTCGGACGTAACCTGAGGGCAAAAATAAATTGCGTGAGAAAAAAACCCGCGGTATCCCTTTCTTGCTCGGCTTCTCCCCCTTTCAACTGGACCCGTCTGCTTTCGATTTCTTTCGTTCTCTTTTGCGATTTTGTTCCGTGCGCAGACTAGCATCCCGGATGCTTATCCGAACGGTCTGACAATTCCAATAGAGTCCCTTCCGATTCGTGCGTCGATGGCAGCGGGCAGAAAAGGAATCTCGGGACACGAGAATCGCCCTCTGCCTTCGCTCTTATCCTTTGAGCCGACCTATACATTCTCGCTCAAGAATCCTTCTTCCTTTTTTTTATTGCGATACTACTCAGTACAATCCACCATCGGCCGGCCTATTGCCTCGTAGGATTGTTTTCTTATCTCCGACGTTGATCGTCGGAAACGTTTATTAGCCGTTTGAGCTCTGGAGGCTCTCTCTTTTAATTACTGATCGGTGATCATTAAAGCAGTCAACTGCGGTAAAGGAGATGGTGCAGAGAGTCTTGCAAAGAAAGCGAAACAAATTTGAGAAGAAACATCAATGGGGGTGACTAAATATATATCTGAAGTAGATTCTCAATCAAATATATATTTAGTCATATATTATCTGTTCTATTTTGTTTAAAATTTTGTCACTTATTCTTATATATTAATTATTAATATTATTCAGAAAATTAACTACAGCATGATTCACACAATATCCACATAAATCTTGCAAGAATAAATAATTCACTTTTTCATACAATGTAATTTTCATAGTTCTGCGAATAACGGTGTCTCTGTACGTGATATTTCTTTTCTGATTGGAAATATATATTTAATATATCACATTACCTTTTCTAACTCGTTAAAACGTATATTTATCACAAGAAATTCAATTTTAAAAAGAACGGTTTCTCATAAAAATACTCAAATTAATACATAACTGGAGCGCTTTCCTAGATTTTCCGGTATCTCGATCGCTTTTAAAATTCTATCTAATTTTGTTATGTTACGCGAAATCTATTTCGATCTAAAGTGATGCTGAGCGGTGTTATAGCGGGAAGCTTGAATTTTCCTAAAAGTAGTCTTTGGTCTCATTGCCTTTTCCCCTTGGTAAACTCGTATTAGCACGCTCAACTGATTGTCGGTGTTTCGTGGTGAACGTCTGCGTTTGTTTTGTCGAGATTGTCGTATTGTGTCTGATGGGAGCATGCAGTCATCATGCTATCGGCCGTCTCGATGCCAAGTGAAAGAAAAGGATTATGTACGACTTCGGACTTGTCACCGTGCAAAATGGTAACCCGGACTGCTGTGCCGTAGGCAACAATCTCGTCCGAGTTTATAGACTTTATATAATTCCTTGTTGTTGAAGAAATCCTAAGAAAGTGGCTGAAAATTGATTCTGCCAAATTCTCAGAGAATACTATTGACAGAAAGTGTATCCAGTTTCTCTACGGTTAGAGAAACGGAGATGAGAGTGGCGGGGGAGTGTCTGTTGGTTTTGTCATCTAGCTCATTAATACCATAACGAACACCTGGCGACAACCCTCGTGTTTTCTCTACGTGTGCCA